ACTTGGTTTTCCTGGGTCTTTTCACGTGTGTTATGAATAAATCTTCTTTTTTTCAGTACCAGTACTAGTTTTATTTTGTTGTATTTATCCGCGACAACTTAAAGGCCGGTCCGTGAAAATATTGTCGGGCATAAACCGGTCCGTGGCGCAAAAAAAGGTTGGAGACCGCTGCAATACACCACTTTGAATACCCGGTGATGCCGATTGGGCTAACCAACCCCAGCCAGTTTTCAAGCTTTGTGGATAGGTTCGTGTTTGTTTACCCTAGATGACGTTCAGATATTTTCCAAGACTCTTGAGGAACACCATGTGGCTTTTCTCACGTCATCTCCGTCCTGCAGAGGAGAACTATGATGTGGGTGACAGGGAGGTGTTAGTAGTAAAGCTCGCTCTGAAAGAATGGCGACATCTTTTGGAGGCAGCCGAGCAGCCGTTTGCTATCTGGATGGGTCATAAAGACCGAACTTACCTGAGGACAGCTAAGACACTGAGTGCACGGCAGGCACGTGGGTCACTGTCTTTGCAGGTTTAACTTTTTTATTTCCTACCGTCCACGCTCACGGAGCATCAAACCCAATGCATTATCTCGCCAGGTCGCCACCGACACAATCGCTCTGAGGTCCCAATCATTCTCCCCGCTACAAGCAAGACTGGGTTCATTGCCTGGAATGTGGAGGACGCCATTCGCCGGTACTGGAGATTGAACCTGATCTGGGTATTGGTCTCGTGAATCGGCGCTATTTACCTGCAGCAGCCCGTTCCACGACCGGGTTCACGCCGCCAAATTCTCATGGCGGACCATTCCATTTCCCCATCATGTCACGCTACACCTGCAAGCCAGGGAGCCACTAGAAAGCCATTCAGTTGCCTTATCGCCTCATCATCAGCATTTCTCTCCCTCTGTTTCAGTGACCTCTCACCCACGAGCCGAGACTGCTTCGGACTCCTGTTAGATTCTCATTTCCTGTTTCCTGTGCTTCAGTGTTACTCTTGTGTCTTTGTAAATAAAACCTACCAGTTTGCCTCCGCCTGCATTTGGGTCCATTTTCACGCACGAGCCCTGCTGCCATAACAGGAATATTAGTCTCTACTATTTCAATTTGTCAGTTAAAATCAGGACAGACAGGCTGTAACACCTACAGGCTCATAAAGTTGATGGTGAGAATCCTTTTCTGGCTTGATACCAGCACCAACACTTCCACAACACTGGAAGCTAACCCACCTAAGTAACTAACCAGAATCTTTATGTAAAAAAGTCAAAAGTTAGTGACCAGGGCTCAGCGGGCAACTGGAGAAAATATATTTACATCCATGGATAAACAACGTTGTTCGTGCATTATCATCTCTGTACTGTGTTTTACTGCTATTTGGTCATAAACTCGATCATTCAATGACTTGACATCCTGACCAGAAGAGAAAATGGTAAATTAATAAGATTAAAGCACCGCAACAGTTCCAAGTCAGCAAGAAACAGACCAGGAAGGAGACCATGGTGGTGGATGAAGTCCCCATGGTGGAGAACGAATGCTTCTTTATGAAGGTAAGAGGTGCCGGGGCTCCTGGACGTGATGGGAAACCACTTTTAACAGGTGCCTCAGATGGGCAGAGATCTGAAGGATGCCAGACAATAAGCTCAGGTTTCTCATAAGTGCTGCCTACAACTCCCTTCCATAGCCCTGCCTGTTTAGTAGTGCTTACTATGGCAGCTGGTGTCCTGTAGGCAGGACAGCATGGCAGGTCTGCAGCATGTTTTCATAACAATGAAAAGGAGAAAAGATGGCGCTGTCCCAGGGATGCTTCGGGTGGCAAGGAAGTCAGGAAGTCCTCGAGATGTGTAGTGTGATGGCACACTTCAGAGTCAGCTATCTATCTATTATTGTACGATCTACTGTACAATACAAAGCGCCTTGAGGCGACTGTTGTTGTGATTTGGAGCTATATAAATAAATGAATTTGGAGAAACAGCCGTTTACTCTCACACACTGAGATCTGTCAGTTAAAAAGTCTAAAATCCAACCAACGAGATTAAAATCAAGTTTAACCTGGTTAAGAAGTTTATCAACTAAAAGATGTGGCTGGATAGCCGAGCATGAGCTTTAGCTTTAGCATGATGCCAGCTGGTAAAGACTGGCAGATATTTGGTGAACCTCAGGGAGAAGCTCCTCTTCCCATGAGATA